ATTTGTCTCCACATTGAATAATGCTGGTACAAAACCATTTGAAAATTATATTACCCATAATTCAATGCAATATTAGAATGGCAAATTCACAAAGCTATTTGGTCTATAATTTAGAAAACAGCTATGAAATATAAAATTGTTTTCTAGTAATTTTTGAGAAACAATGTTTGCCAAATGTAATACAGATTATTATTCTATATTTTAGTTACTAACTATCAAATATGATTTGTATATACTAATTAATAATGGGCAGTGACACGGCAAAAATTGCTGAACACGTATCTCATGAATATATAGATATAGACAGGCTTATATTGTTACATTTTAGTCAGTACGCCCAGTGAGGTTATCATACTACAGAAAACACAACGGAATTTGTCAAGCTATTTTGAAGTAAGTAGACATCTGTTTCAGTCATGATATTTGTTATTGTGCTGTTATTATCTTTTCTCTTCATTTCATGGTATCATAACTGACAAACACAGTTCATATTAAAGTCAGTCGTTTTGACTACTTTGTTAATCTTGGTTGGTTTGGTTTACACCAGGCCTGTTACAGAAGTACAGAAGAGGAAAAGTCAAACATGTTACCAACACAGTGTGTGATTTAAAGCAGTTTCATACACCACAAGGCTACCAGTAGCATGACTGTGTTGCATGTGACCCATCACTGGTAGACAAACTGTTTGAAAGTATATACATACAACACTTTGTAAAAAATTGTATTACAATAATAAACCAATTTTGACATGTTGAACTATTGGATCAACTTCACTGAACATTGTTTAGATGAACCATAGACCTCTCTTTCTAAGGTCTATGGATGAACATAGTGTGATAAACTAATGTGTCAAGGGAATGAACTTAAGTCCCTTAAGGTGATGATTGATATACACAGAAATTGGCATTATCATTCATCTGTTTGTGACATGATACTTTTGAAATTTACCCACAATGCACCTGATTCATGTAATGTTTGGCCTGAAACATCATATATCAGGCCTCGTAATAGTTTACAATATTCTAACCATAACAATCATAAATTCACCTGATTAAAAAAAAACAATTACAGAAACATTGTATTTTATATTCTACTTTGCAGGATGTACTATTCGCAAATGGTCCCGACTCGTCTTTTGTTATTCGTGATTGATATGATAGATGTGTTCATAATAAATATGTCACCTCATCTTGACATGTCCAATTACGTACCTTTAAATAATTTGTATTATATTTTAACTTATTCTGTGTTTGTTTTCTCTTTAAGAACTGGTTCTAGTCATGGCAAAAACTGTGATACTGCTGTTGATGTGTCTTGTTGCCTTAAATATGGCTATTTGTGGTGAAGTCCGGGCCATGTCCCCATCTGAGTTCCTATCTGAAACTCAATTCAATATGGAACAAGAAGAGGAGAACAACGGTGACACTGGCACAGAAAAGAGGTGCTGTGGTGGGAAATAGCGAAATCAGTGGATAAAATAAATAAATATTAATAATCTGTAAAACAAATCTGTAATATGTTTGTTAATTTTTTAAACATGAATTTGATTGGGATCAATGTCAAAAGCCACAGCCCCTAGAATTTTGTAATATACACAAACTACTTCACATGATAATTGTTATCAATTGTGACTATTTGTTAATCAAAAAATTATAGTGAGACTATACTGAAGTCGCGAGTGGCGAGTACTAACGTATCATTGAATTTAGATCACCGTTTGTTCATTAGCCAGTCATTTAAAAAATCATAGAAATAGAAATGAGTAGATGACCCATTAATCACAGTTTCCAATTTGAGCTCTTGATGACTCGACGGATGTTACTTAAACCATGAATCCAAATTAATTGATTCATAGTCTCACTCTGTACAACCTGTGAAGTGATGCTGGTTGAATGAAGTGGTACAATTTTTGTTAAATCTTTCCATTTAGCATGTATTCCCATGGCAGCTAACAGGTTATTGAATTCAACCACGTGTACTACCGAAGGTGGCTGCTCCACCACTCGCACTGATTACGTATCACACTGTAGACCCACAGAGTATCAACCCACAACGATCAGTTGTGTTTGGTAATTTTGTGTTGCGAGAGATTTATCATCAAATGATTCAGTGCAAAGAGATTGTTTTTTTGTTTTTTTTATGGAACCGTTTGCCTCATTATGTCATTTGCAGTTTATGATTTTCTAAAATAGAGATTTTCAAATGTTCGTTTATATTGCTAATAAAAGTGACCCCACGGTGCCTATATCTGTGTGGTATTTCTCACTGTGACCATAAATATGTACCACATACTGACCCACAAAGTTACTCGTACTGACTCATGTTAAGGCACTAAGGTTGATCCTTATGTTTGTTTATTTATCTGAACACCATATTGACCACCATATTTTTCATTGTGGCCCCCGCACTTGAACCTCATTTTATCACTCATTGTGACCATAATTGTCTTCCGCTTTGCTTCACATATCGACTGCTCTCCCACAGTGACCTCAACATTCCCCTCTCAGAGGAACAGAACGTAGTCCCCATAGTTTTGTCCCACAGATGCTGTCAGTGTGAACCTACATTATTGTAACTCAAACTGTCAAACCTTCAATATGTAAAATACAGCAACCCTTATAATGTACTCCACAGTGCCATGCATTTAAATCCTTACCATGTCATTGATATTCACATCGGTTTTCATAGTTACCCCCACAGTTCCTCTCAACATCTTTTGTCCCACATTGTGTTGCATACAGTACCCTGCACAATATTATGGCTTGCACTTGCCCCTTTTTAATTCCCTCTCGGTAGTCTCCAATGTGACCCTCGCAGTTTATAATATTGGGGCTCACACTTATTTTTTTTGCTGGTCTTGTGATTTCAACGTCAAAAGGCATGGTGAAATCCTTGAGAGTATGGGTGAATTCATCTAGAGCACTGTTCGTGATCGGTAAAATAAAACAAGAATTGGTAATTCACTTTTACGCAATATTACAGTCTCTGTTAGTGATGTTATGATACATGCAATGTGTAATGTTACCAATGCAGATTTGATGCACTCGTTCTCCAAGGAGTAACTCACTCAGACCCAGCTGCATTGTAATAGTTGGATGGATAGTATTTTGAATATTGATGACATTTCTTGGATAGAATGTCAGTAAATTCAGCAAACGGTAGAATGTGTGCGTCGTCATTCTGTAAACAAATAATTCCATTTTGCAAACAATGGGTTAAAAATACGGTATCGGACAGGCCACCAGTTATCCAACATTTATGGTAACTGAAATAATTATGCAGTGAGACTGGAAAGCCTTTCACCGAGGTTATCCAATCCGGCTTCACCGATAAACAAGTAATTACGCAGTAGATGTAAGAAGTGTTGAAAAAGAATTGCAAACTCACTGAAATAGTAGAATAGTGAATTAGAGTATGCATGAGGATAAAATTACCAATTGCCATATTTCCTGTAGTGAATTCACCAACTTGAAAACATTTCACTATTTTTTCTCATCTGATGTTTACACATTAATAGTGGATTACTTATAAATGATTCGGATGGAATGTCATGTCTTGAACATCAATAACGCATTACCTGTCATATTGGTGGCTTATCTAAATATTATTTATTTCATTAGGGTTATTTTACGTTACTTAATCAAAACATAAATCATTAATCATGTGGCGGACCTATAAAAAGCTAGAATCAATGTGTGCATAATAGGATTTACTATGGTTAGTAAATTTCGGACGACAACAATTACATACACTGTGAACACATATGGTGGAGGTCATTAAGATGGGTCACTGTTAAGATTCCCAATTTCGATATAGGTAAATTGCTGCTCATGCTGATTCAAACGTTGTTTTTTCTCATTACATTTTTGGGAAACAATCGTTATTACGTTTCAAAACTCTTATTTT